TGCTCCTTTGCAGACAGAATAAAGAATGCGTGTGTCCAGGCTGCTGCCTCCCTTCCCCTGCCCCTTTCCCCAGCCCCGCCCCGCCCCCGTCCCCCAAATCTCCTGCGTTGGCTGCAGCTCTCGTCGTGAAGTACGGCGGCGGGAAGGACCGGGGTGCAGGTTGTCGGCAAGGAGGGGTGCGGATGCTGGAGGCCGGGAGTGACAGGCAGGGAAGGGCGACAGTGCCCTAGGAGAGGCGACCTAGCTCCCATCTGTGTCTCCTCAACTTTCCTCTCGGTGGCTGCGACTGTCACCGCCGGTGGCTCGCCGGAGGGATGCCATGTCGACCCGGCAGGGGAGGGGCCGGGGGAGCAGACGTGTCAGCAGCCGGGACCCGCAGGTTCTCTGGAAGCCCCCACGCCTGGGGACAGTGGCCTGTCCGCGCCCACACATTTCCCTCTCCTACCTGCAGTCTAGACTAGCGCATCCCCGAAAAAACCGGGACGATGGCGGTGAGGGGACGAAGGGACCTGCTTGCGCCCTGGCCCCGCTCTGTTAAGAACTGGCTCCCTTCGGGAATAGGGGTGGGGAAAAAATCTCGGCCACTCGAAGGGCATTTTCCGATGAGCTGATTCTCCGTTGAGAAGACACGAGCCTTTCTCCCCAATCTGCAGCAGACGGAGGAGAGACGGCGAAGGCTTGGCCTCTCCTCCCCTAGCCTGGCGTGGTCTATTGGGAACCACCTTCTCACCTAGTTTCTGCTGGGTTTGGCCTCAGGGATTCCCAGGGAGTCAAGTGATTGTGCCCGCGTGGGTGATCGCATCTGGGTTGTAGGTGTTGGCTCAGGGCCGGTCCTGCCGGAGTCAGATTGCTGGGAGCAGTAGGCAGAAGAACTGCAGAGAAAGCAGACGCTGCTGCATCACTCTCGGGGACTGAGGACACCCTGTTTTGGAAATTCCTGAAAAATTGGAATGATGGGAAGGAGGGAGAGGGGGAGCTGCAACCTTTTCTCATTTCCTCCTGCCACATCCAGTATGGGCATTTGTACGTGTGCTTGTGGGTGCATATCTCCAAGGTGGAGCTATATATAGCTCTTGCATACCCAGCCCGGTTTCCCTGCTGCTGAGCAGGCTGCCTTGGCCTTCGGAAGCAATCTGGAAGCACTCAGTGGGAGGGGCAAGTGGGAGTCAAATTCTCCACTGGGGGGAAAGCCAGAGAAGAGGCACTCAGGCTGACTAAACCCTACATGAAATAATGTTTCTGTAATGCACATGAAGCTTAATATTTTTCAAGCAGTATATGAATACATTCTTAGAGTGTTGTCTGATCTTCATCCATTTCCCTGCATTTTTCAGCGTCACAGTGTACACATGAACCTTACCAGCCTGAAGTATAACACACATGAAATATTCATACCAAATCTGGAACATTTTATTAAACTCATCAGAGCATAATGGTTTGCTTATGCCTGTACCTTGGTTATTTGGTCGTAAATTTATTTGAATGGTAACTTATAGCTAGCAGCATTTGGGGATCTGGTAGAAGATCCACCCATTTTTCTAGGATGCAGAACTAAGAAACTGTTAGAACCATTTGGGGGTAGTTTTAATACATTTCTTTGTACAAATTTGGCTTGTGGACCTGATATTTAAATTTGTGCTGCTGTTTCATATCATGTCTATTTGTTCTATGTGAAATTTCTCTTATAGATGTATATACATTTATTTTTCCCATTGCCTGGAATTATTTATTCCCGGTGATAACCTATTCATTTTCATAGATGATAAAACTAAGATTCAAAGGACACAGGCAATTTGCTTAAAGTCTTCCAAAAATTTCAACTCTAATATTCCAACAACCTACTGTGTGTTTATGCTGAATAGCAGTTTCCCCTGAAATGCAATACGTTTTAGCTTCCCATGATTTTTGGTCTTGGTAACAAAATTCAATCACTGTTGATATCAGTAACAATGTAAGTCAAGGTTATTCAGTTCTAGTCTTAGACGCATTCATACAAATTCAGTTCTGAGTTTTTAGAATCCAATTCTAACTTGCCAAGTCATTCTGAAGATAAGTGATTTAATCTAGCAATTTAACCATCACAGGCAGTGGGACCTGGCTTTTAACTTTGGCTCTGCAACTTCCTGACTATCTGATTTGGGGCAAGTTAATTAACCTTTTACAGGCTCAGTTTTCCTGTCTTTAAGAGGAGAGTGATAGCATTGAATTTTCAGATTGCTGTGAGGGTATGGCTTTTAACTTTGGCTCTGCAACTTCCTGACTATCTGATTTGGGGCAAGTTAATTAACCTCTTACAGGCTCAGTTTTCCTGTCTTTAAGAGGAGAGTGATAGCATTGAATTTTCAGATTGCTGTGAGGGTACACAAAATGTGCATAGGTTTCCACCACGGGGGTGGATGGATAGTGGGTAATTAATAAATATGATTAATATTAATTACAACAATACATTGGTATGTATCACCTAAATGCATTTTTATAATTCATGGTTCTAACCAGAATGATCACTCCTTTCTGGAATAACTTTCATTTGAAAAACTGATCATGTTCAGTCTTATTTTGTTGCTTAATCTTTATTTGTATGTCTGATTTGTTTTTTAATTAGACAAGGAGTATTTTGCAGAAAAAGACTATAACCTGTATTTTTGTATACCCCACCACATTAACCACAGTTCTAAGACATCTCAAAGATTCCTGTTGAGGAAGCATCACCATAAGGAATTGTTTGGATGGATACTGCAATCTATTTGGACATAATCTATTTGTTGATAGTAGGCTATGTGTTGGGAACTACTTCTGGAAACTTCTTTGGCTCCATTATCCTCTCCATGAGGAGTAATGGATGACATGAGGTATTTCCATATCCTTCCACAGAATGATTAAATAGTCCAGTAGGGGTTATGGCTATGTACTGGTTGTTTTATACATTCTCTAGTATCTCATGCCCCTCAAGACCAACTAGAGTCTGAGTTGAAACACAAGTTATATTTCCCTATGTAAAACATGTCATGTAACTCCTTTATTAAAAAGAAATCAACACATGGTCCAATTTCCATCCCTTTCTACATGGAAGTTAGCCATGGTCTGCATCATATCACAGAATCTACCCTGAGTCACCAGAAGCTCCTCCTCTTCAGGTCCAATGTTTGTTTTCTTTTTATTGGTGTATTGTTTATTGCTCTTCCCTTCTGACCTGCCATATTGTGCATCTTCTCCATGAAATTTTACTTCCTGATACTACAATACTCTGATATCAATTTTCTTTTATTTTTTCTAACCTTCCTTTCTTTGTCTCCCTCTTGCCTCCTCTTTCTGCTTCTAGCTTCGAAATGAATCCCCCAAATTGATGAAAATTTATTTTACTGGAAAAGAGATTCTCCTTCTGCATTTCCATTCCTAATTTCTCCTCCATTAGCCATTCCAAAATACTATTTTACCAGCTAATAGGCTTTGGAAGGAAGCCTACATGTATTAATATTTATATACCATGATGCAGATAAGTGAACGTCAGCAAGTCAATTGGGGATTATATTAGCAATACCTCATAATTTGTGTGTGTGCATCTTTAAATATTAAATGAAATAATCCAGGTAAAATGTTTAAAATAGGGCCTGGCCTGTAATAATTACTCATAAATACTAACTATTACAAGTAGAAGTACTGTTTAAGGTAATAATAATATACAAGGTAAAAACTGGTTTTGGTTTTTCCCCATCAATAGGCATCACTCCTAAACTGGTTTTTTGCAGTGAATATTACTACTCTCCAGGCTTTCTGGTTTGGAGTTAGTGAGTTTTTAAGCCTTCCTTTCCTCTACCTTCTAGTGTTCACCTTTTTTTTTTCCCTTTTTTTTGTCTTTTTTCTAATATACAAGGTAAAAACTGGTTTTGGTTTTTCCCCATCAATAGGCATCACTCCTAAACTGATTTTTTGCAGTGAATATTACTACTCTCCAGGCTTTCTGGTTTGGAGTTAGTGAGTTTTTAAGCCTTCCTTTCCTCTATCTTCTAGTGTTCACCTTTTTTTTTTTCCTTTTTTTTGTCTTTTTTCGTGACCGGCAACGGATCGCAACCCTCAGTGTCGCGCCCATACTGGACCGGACCGGCAACGGGACCG